AAAAAAAAAAAAAAATTATATTGAATCTTGTTTTGAGATATATTTACTTAATCATGTTATATACATATTTTTTCATTTCTAGTTACTTAACAAAGGAATTTAAGTCACATATCAATAAATCAATGAGGAATTTTAACTTTTGCCTATGGCTTTTATTAGAGTAGTAGATTCTTTTTATTTGTCCTATATTTGGTATGTTCATAACTTGTAAGAATTATTTGACTGAAAGAAAAAATACAATATAAGGACAAGTATTTTGAGCACAAAGCTGTAGGGTAGGATGGTTGAAGCAAAGCTCTTTAGAAGAATGTGATTGTTAAATCTGCATGTCTTTTAATGGTTACAAGGATCATCCTTTAAGCTGGGCACTGGTTGGCTCATGCCTGTAATATTAGCTACTCAGGAGGCTGAGATCTGAGAATTGCAGTTCAAAACCAGCCTGGACAGGAGAGTTAGAAAATACCTGTTGGATTATAGAACATTCAAAATACAAAGGTAAACAGCCAAGTTCCAGGAGCGTAACATTTTGCTAACTCTGAGGATATTACACACATTAGAAGATGAAGTTATATGAGCAGTTGTCAAAGACAGCTTTACAGTTTCGTTTTCAAACTGTAAGTGTGAACTCAACAGTTTATGATGACACCCACATCCATGTGTGGGCAAGTGCAACTAGAGTATTTTTGATTGGGTGTCATTTGGCAAGCAAACGAGAGCACTACCTGTTTTGTCTGTCAGTAAGTAGACCAGACGTCCCAGCTCCTCTGGTATGGTGCTGGTACGAACAACTGTGCCAGGGATACTCTCGTCTTTCATAATCATCCATCCGTATGCTGCCTTGCCCATGTCCAAGTTCACACGCAGACTGCCAAGTAAGAACATTGCTTATCATTAGTGCTTCTAATCCATATGATATAAGCACACTTATAGTATCATGTAAACAACCATATCTTATATGCATTCTTAAGTTTCATGCAAATTAGGAAGTTTGATTTCAGACCTTTGTTGTTGTTGATGTTGTTGGATGTAGGGACTGAACTCAGGGCCTACGCACCATCCCTGAGCTTTGCTGAGCCACAGCTCCACTTCGAGTTTTCTCTTTCCTGCCCAAGCTGGATATAAACTGAGATCTTCAGATCCCAGTCTCTTGAATAGCTAGGATTACATGCGTGAGCACTAGCACCTGGTGATTTCAGACTTTTAAGATACTTAAATTTGTGGGTATTTAACAAATGGTTTTACATCCCAGATATTTTAAGGTGACAGAAAAGTGTGAGCTCCTTCCCCCTGCATGTGTTATAGAACCAGAGGAAGTAAGATTCTAAGTTCCCCCTTAAGCCCCAAAGGACTATAAGCTCAAAGGACAGTGGAATAAACATGATTAAGGAAATAAAGTAAGGGTTATGGCAAATAAATACAAAAAATGGGTCTTAAAGTTTATTTATTTTGAATGTCTCATGTGAGTTGAATGTCTATACCCAGAAACAAGTAGGATGTGACAGGATCAATGCAGAGCCGTGTCTCTGCTTTCTAGTTATCTTTAATATTCATCTTTTATGCTGTATGATAAGACTGTAATTTAAAACACAGAATGGATCATTGTACCTGAGACAACTCTGAAATAATCCCACCTAAAGTATGGAATGAAATAGATGACCTCCAGGAGAATTTTCCAGGCCTACTAAAAGGCAGCGACATGGCACCACATACCAAAATTGTATCATCCTGCAAGTGAGCCTGGTACAGTTCTTCCCTACATATCATTTGGAAAATACTGTCTCTAGTTTAATGCTATAAAAACCAGCAGATACGTACACCACTGAGAGGATTTGCTGAGAATCAAATTTTGGGACCTACTGATATGGCTTAGTCTATTAATAAATACATGTGTAAAAAATCTTTAGAAATCATAATCAGTGAAGTATATATGTTAAAGAGCATTAAATATTTATAACTTGTGCCTTACCTGTCCAGAATTTACATCTTTAAAAAAACATAAAAACTAAAGTCTTTATTAAAGACAGTGGCTTATACCTGTAATCCTAGCTACGTAGGAGGCTGAGATGTAAACAGTGCAGTTTGAAGCCAGCCAGGGCAGAGAGAGGCCCTTATCTCCTACTGACTAGCAAAAAGATGGAAGTTGAAGCACAGATCAGATGGTAGAGCACCAGCCCAATTCCAGTGACAACAACCCTAAAATGCACATGGGAGCACAAAAAACCCTAAATAGCCCTAACCATCATGAACAAAAAGAACAATGACCTCAAACTATATCACAAGGCCACAGTAACAGAAACCAGCCTGGCACTGAACAAAAACAGACTGGTAGACCAATGGAGTAGAATGCAAGACCCCGAAACAAAACCACACAACTAGTTATCTGATTCTTGACAAAGATGTCAAAAACATACAGTGGAGAAAAGACAGTCTTCTGAATAAATGGTGCTGGGAAAACTAAATGTCCACATGTAGGTGAGTAGAGCCCCTCTCTCACCCTGTGCAAAAGTCAAATTCAAAAACAGAGTGAAAGCAAGAGGCTCTGGGTGTTAGTAGCAATTAAAGAAACATCTTCAAGGTCCCTTTATACTCAACCATGAGCAATTTTTTGCTTAATAAAATAATTTCTGTTGTTAAAGAAAGCATCATTAGGGTACAAAAATAAATAGAACAAGCACCCACAGAAAGGTAAAAAACAGTAACGTGTATTTCCTTCACTAAGATAATAATCCTATACAGAGATGTACTGGGAGTCATATAGTATATTTTGATCAAGTATTAATGAAGTAATCTGCTTTTTCATGCAAAAAGTCTGTAAGATGCTTATTTCAAATACTAAGCTAATAGAATAATTTTTATCACTATGCTTAACTTCCTTCTTAGCAATGCCCTAATTTATTTTATTTTATTTTTTGGCCTGTCCTGGGGCTTGAACTCAGGGCCTTGGCACTCTCCCTGAACCTCTTTGGGCGCAAGGCTAGCACTCTATCAGTTGAGCCACAGTGCTACTTCCAGCTTTTTCTGAGAAGTTTATTGGAGAAAAGGGTCTCATGGACTTTCCTATCTGGGTTGGCTTGCAAACTGTGACCTTCAAATTTCAGCATCCTGAGTAGCTAGAATTACAGGCATAAGCCACTGGCACCAGATACAATGCCCTAATTTTGAAGAATTTCAAAACCTAGACCTCTATGCAACTGTTAAATATCAACTGAGTCACGATCTGTGATTCCACAAAATATATTCAAGTCTCACATTTAAAGGTTTGTGCAAACAGGTTAGTGGGGAATAAACATGAGGGCTCTTGAAGTTCATCTACTGCTTATTCAGGAATTGTGAAACTGTTGTTGACCCACCCATTCCAGGTAAATGGAGGCTATTTCTGATGATTAAATGAACATTTATGACCTTTACTGCTAGTAAATAGGAAAATGAATCATCTTGGGCCAACAGTGTGCTCATGGATGTTATCAATAAGAACATTAAAAATCCAGTTTTCGCTATGGGAAGACATGAACTAAATTTTAGGACATATGATTGCCTTAATGGTAGTTTCCTGTCTAAATATTTTAATCCTATAGTTACAAAAAGGACTGAGGAAGTAATTTGAGCCAAATAAATCTGAAGTGCAGTTACCTAAAATACACAATATGATCCCATTTAGGCCCCAGGATGCTGGCTATATTCAAGCTCTAATTTGTACAATTAAACCTCACCACTGATCACTGCCAGGTGAGCCAGTCCCCCCTCCAGCATAAGATATGCACACAATTTTCCTCAGGGAATGAATCTACCGAAATAATGCACATGCAGAGTCTGATCTGAGCAAAAGAAAACAGAAGTAATTTTCATCAGAACTTTTATCACAAGTCATCAAAACCTTTTCTTGTAAATTACAGAGCCAAATGGATACAGATATGCTACTTTATAAGAAGTCTTCTTAGTGTTGTTGGGTGGTGGCACACATTATGTCATTTCCCCGTGTGAGCCACGCCTGCACGGCATAGAGGGGCACCGCATCTCCAGAACTAACAGGTCCTGCTGCCTGTTGGGTAGATGACCGTCAGTGGAACAAATGCCTTTAACAAACCGAACAGTGGAGGACAACACGCTCACTCCCTTGCCTTACAGGGCAAACAAACAACATCTATTCTTCTCATCATTCTTTCTAGTCTAATCCAGTTTGGTGCTTAAATTCTTAGGCCGAGCAGTAAGGCAAGAGGAAGAAATAAAAGAAGTACCAATAGAAAGGAAGAAGTCAAACTACTCCTATTTGCAGAGGAAATGATTCCATACTTACAAGACCCTAAGGACTCTACCAGAAATCTTTATATTTGATAAACACTTTCAGCAGATACAAGTGCAATATACAAAAATCAATAGCTTAAAAAAAAACACCAACAGTGAACATGCAGAGGAAGACATCAGGAAAATAATCCCACTCATACAGTTCAAAAAGAATAAAACATCGAAGAATAAACCAAACTAAGGAAGTGAAAGACTTCTATGGTAAAAAAAAAGTAGAAAACACTGAAGAAAGAAATTAAAGAAGACATTACAAGATGGAAAGATCATCCACTTTTTACAGACTGGCAGAATTAATATTGTCAAAAGGCTATATTACTGATAGTGATCTACAGAACCATTATAATTCCCATCACCATTGCAATGACATTTTTCACAGAAATTTTAAAAAATCCTAAAATACACATGGAAGCACACACACACACACAAAACAACCCTGAATAGCCCAAACAATCATGAATAAAAAGAACAATGCTAGAGGTATCCTAATACCTGACTTCAAATTATATTACAAGACCATCGTAACAAAAATCACCCTCGTACTGAACAAAAACAAGATACATAGACTAAGGATTAGAATGTGAGACCCAGAAATAAAATCACATAACTATAGTTATCTGATTCTTGATAAAGATGTCAAAAACACAATGGAGAAAAGATAGTCTCCTTAATAAATGGTGCTGGGAAACCTAGATGCCCACATGCAGGTGACTGAGACCATAGTCCTCTCTCTCACCCTGTGCAAAAGTCAATTCAAAATGAATTAAAGACCCTAATGTAAGATCTGAGGGCTTGTGGGTATGATTCAAGTAGTAGAGTATCAACGCATTTGGCTCTGAGTTCAAACCTATTGCTGTCATTGTTTCCTATGACACAATTATACAGGGAAAATTCAACATACTCTGATTAAGTGCCAATATTTAATAAAATATTTTTTGCTAAGCACTATGGCTGTAAACCTAGCTACTTCAGAAAGCTGAGTGCCGAGAACTACAGTTGGCCACTAGCCTGGGCAGGAAAGTCTGGGAGACTTATCTCCAATTAACCAGCAAAAAGCAGGAAGTAGTTCAAGTAGGAGAGCGGTAGCCTTGAGCACAAAAGCTCTGGGACAGCACCCAGGCCATGAGTTCAAGCCCAAGGACAGGCACAAAAAAAAATTAAAAATTAAAAAAAAATATTTTCTTTATTCCAGCAATAAAGAGATATTAAATAGGACTTTAAAATACTTACAATGGTATTTAAAAATATCAAGTATTTAAGAATTGCTCTAATAAGAATGATCATTCATTTCTGTGGGGAAATGTTAATTAAGGACCTAAATTAAATTAAGAACTATGCCAAATTCATGACCAAGAAGGGTCCAAGCACTCTTGAAGAATACAAGGAAAGCCTTGTGTCAAATAATGACTTATCACAAAGATATGTTTATGACAGGCTGCCATTTGGTCAGGAATAGACAAGCAGGCCACAGAAACAAAATCAAGTTCTCCAGACAGGCCTCAGGTGACAGAGGTGACAACAATTCCCTAGGGAAGAGTCTTTCTATGAAGGATGCTGAGATAATAA